CTCAATGGCAGCTCAAGTGAACAGTCAGAGCGATGAGACGGTGTACTACTCGTCAGATATGTCTGATTTGGGTCCACAGGTGTCCTCCACTCAGACCACATCCCACTCGCAGACACCCAACGCCCAGACTTTCGGACTAACCATCGGTGGCCCTCATATCAGTGATATCTTCTCAGTGTTGGACTCATTGACAGAAACGGATGCGTTAACGGAGAGTCTCGAGTGTCTGAATGGCGATCATTACTGCACTTCAGAGTCATTGGTTGGACAGCAGAATCTGAATCCAAACTCATTTATATCACAAAATCCAGAACACATTCAGACGACGATTCAAATCCCGACTCATTTGGCGGCCAATCAGCTAATGTCTCACAACTCACAACCGGTCCATTTGACACCAATAGTCCTCTCGCGACCCTCTATTCAAACGCAACCATTGATTGCTCAGCCGATGATACAAACGACTGAAACGTCAAACGCTAATCAAATGATAAGCAATTCCCTGAATATAAAACGGACCGAAACTCAAAGTATAGATAAAACAAATCCCAAAGTCTTGAATACAAACGAGAAGAGAGTTGCCGTCAAATTGAGTCCAAGGATTGAAACTAAAGAGTTGATTGAAGAGATCTGAATATAAAACGGACCGAAACTCAAAGTATAGATAAAACAAATCCCAAAGTCTTGAATACAAACGAGAAGAGAGTTGCCGTCAAATTGAGTCCAAGGATTGAAACTAAAGAGTTGATTGAAGAGACGAAATGCTTTAAATGTCTGATTTGTAACTTCATTTCACTCGACAAGTCTGTTGTGAGCAGACATTTGAGTGAAAAACACGAAAACGAGACTAAAGTTACTTCAGTTGAAGATAACTCTAAATCAATGGTTAATAAGAAGACCAATACATACATGTGCTCCAAGTGTTTCAAAGGCTTCGCTACGTTATCGGCGTGTCGTCAGCATATGGTGAGTCTCCATAAGCTGAAAGTGGATTCCGTGACACTCGAGACCATTGAGAGCGACCAAAACATAAGTCCCATTAAAGACAAGACAAAGAACCTGCAGAAGGAAGTGCTCAGTGAAACACACGATAACTCACTCAACAAGAAGGCGTCTAAACTGAGACACATTCTGCCAAACGGTAAGATCGAAGTGCAACAGCAGTCGGTGAGCACCGGGAGAAAGACTAAACCAGTGATTGTCAGTAAAAGCCATCATAACTACTATAACCACAACAACCAAAACAGCGCCAATGCGACGGCAAACGTCCTCAACAGCCATAACAACCACAACAATCACATGAATGTGAAGCGTCTGGCGTGGAAGAAGAAGGTGAAGCGCGAGTTGGGGACCTATATCTGTGAGTTCAAGGGCTGCTCCGTGCGATTCCGGGCGCTCGAGAATCTCCAGAAGCACCACAGATGTCACTCGGACTCCGGTTCGGGCTTTGTTTGCTCTAATTGTAGCAAAAACTCTGAACAGTGGCCCTCAATGGCCGGTCATCTATGGCGGAGTCACGGCATTGACTTAGAACTGCACGCCTGCGAGCACTGCTCGTACCGGACATACAGTCTCAGTATTCTGGAGAACATTCACAAAAGGATTCACTCGAACGAAAAGAACTTCCTCTGCGATACCTGTGGTAAAGGATTCAAAAACTGCAAACAACTCATTAACCATAAGGTGTGTATTCATATTGATTTCCCTTTCAATGTCTTGTTATCTAATGTGTTAATCATTGCTGAACTTAATCACCGAAAGGTTAAACATGTGGTGAAGACACCAGTGCTGAAGACACACGAGTGTCACATCTGTTTGCGCACTTTCAATGACGCGCGCACTAAGAAAGTCCACTTAAACAACGTTCACCACAAGACCCGTCCCTATATCTGCAATCACTGCAACCATTCAGCCGCTAGTCGTAGTGCCTTAAGAACTCATATGAGACAACACACGGGAGAGAAGCCATTCAAATGTGATAAATGCAATTACACCACAAGTGACCACAACTCACTTCGTAGACATAAAATGAGACATTCGGGGGAACGGCCCTACAAGTGCCCCTTCTGTAGCTATTCGTCAATCCAATCGAGTACTTATAAACAACACCTCAAGAATAAGCACCCGGGTCTCAGTGAAGGGATTATGTTTAACTGTCAGTTCTGTGGCTTCAAAACAGTCAATCAGGATATGTACGGAACGCACATCTCTGAACACATGAGGAATGGCCACAAAGACGCCATGAAAGCCAATAAATCAGACACTGATGTGGACTCGGCTCTAGTGAACGAACCGGACAGCCCTACACTGCATTTCGCGTGTATTGTTGGGCAAAGCATTTCGAGTCAAACAAATACTCCGAGTATTTCCTATGCATCAGAATTTGTCAAATAAAAATACAAACCTTTTCTGAGCTCTTTTTACACTTATTTTGATTACATTTTCAATGCTAAGGCTAAGTCATCATCTGTTGGGATTAACACCACAACTGGTATTGTATTTATAATGGGAGTGGAATTTCAAACAAACAGTTTTTCGTTTAACAAAAATACTAATTTCTTAGCTTTCAATCATTTATCATGTTTGAGTCATTTAACAAGTTTTGTAATTCTCATAAAAAATTGTATTTTTATAATTTTATTTTTATTTTTTTCACATCCAAACCTATATTTACTTAAATTTTATTTTTAATTAAATTAACTCAAATATGTTTGAGTCATTTAACAAGTTTTGTAATTCTCATAAAAAATTGTATTTTTATAATTTTATTTTTATTTTTTTCACATCCAAACCTATATTTACTTAAATTTTATTTTTAATTAAATTAACTCAAAATTTAATACTGTATTCTGTATTTAAATTTGATTTAAAACTTCTAGAGAATTATTAATATAATGTTTTTAAAAGTTGTTTTCGCATTATATTTAATGAATTTTGTATTTTGATTTAAAAATTGGAAGATTTGTGAATTGCTTTCTGAACAATCATTAAATTTATGTGAATTTAGTACAAAATAAAGTTTCATTCAAACAAAGATTCTTTAATTATTAATTTTTATTTAAACGTTGACGTTAAAAATAATATTTATAAATTTAAAAAATAAAATAACTTACTCGTTGTAGATGTTTGTAAATTCATATTTATAATCAATGATTATTAATCACATTTTAACTTGCACTATATTCTTAAATTACAGAATCCATATACTGTACTGATTCAAGTGCTAAACCACTGAATTGATGAAAATGATAAAAATTATTTTTGATAATATTGAAATATGATTTTTGGATAAAGTTTTTATTAAACAACTATTCTTATGGTACTTGTGGTTGGTGTTGTGTAAACGTAAGAACATCAGTATTTATAGAAACGGTATATTTTGGTATAAAACGGATTTTTATAAATTTCGTACATTTGATCCTTTTTCTCATTTTTCTTTCGACAAAATCTTATGACTTATTAAATAACAAATCCTTCCGTTTGACTCCTTAATACCTTTCTATCGATTTATTCTTGAAATCACTTTTTTGCGACAATTCTAAGTGTCATTCAAATGGAGTGGAAAAAGTATTTTGTTTTTAACAGAAGAACTCAATTATAAGATTACATGAGTTTAATTGAACGACAATATGCTGTCACTTGTTTGTAGAGTATTTAAATAATACTAAATTTTATGTTTAGTGTTTAGTTTGCTAATATATGTTTATATAAGTATGTGATTAATTTTAACAATTTAATACAATTTTAATAATTTTTATAAATTCAAATAATATTTAGAGCAATTTTTAAGTCAAATTGATTACTTAGTTTTTAAAGATGTTAATTTTTGTTTATTGAGAGTGTACTGTACAATTTGATGTTTTAGTATATTACAGTAACAGTAAATGTTTTGATTTTTCACATTTTTATAACACTAATGTAAGCTTATTTTTATAAGTAGGTGTTCAACAATTATTATACATTAACAAATTGAGTTGAATTTTAAGTTCAATGTATGTCCGCTTGAATGACCATTAGATGTCCAATACTTTATATTTTTTGACAAATATTCTCAACTCATATAAATTCACTTTCAATGTATGTTAATGCAATTAGATTATTAGTTTAATGGCTAACTTTAATAATCTGTAAAAGTTTTATAAATATCTCGATAAAACTACTAATCCATTAATTCTTTTGAATTGAGTGCACATTTTAATATTTATATTGAATTTGAATTTTATAACATTTCAATCGTATTAATGGATATTTTAGTCAAACTCCGGAATATTTTTAAAATTCAAGTTTTTGATCCATTTATAGAGCGATCCCTTAACTGTCAAATCAAACCCAAAAACCCATCAAATGAACGATATTTTCTAAAATGAGTTTTTCCAATCAATATATCCACAAAACCTGAGTTTTGAAAGTAAAATCCTTTTTAAAGTATACTTTTCGAGCGATTCTTGTTTTTTTTCTGAAAATCCTCAGTTTTTGTATTATACTATAATTTAATTTATATTTTAATTTATCTTTTTTGAGAATTCGCTTACATTTTGATCTCAAGTTAAAATCTCATTACAAAAGTATTTCTCGAATAAGTATCTCATATTAAAACTTATGTTTTTGAATTTAGAAATTTTGTTACAATTTTTGTTTAATTAAGAGTTTTGATAAAATAATTATTTTAATTATTCTGAGAGTTAATTAAGGAAATAATGGTTTCGTTTTTATATTCAATCATATTTATGATCGAAACTCACGTCAACTCACATTCACTGAGACATAACACACGCTATTCTCACTATAAATGGGGACTATATATCATTAAATAATAGTATAATACTTGGAATTTTTAGTTACTTTTATTAATTACTTTTATATAAATACTGTATTACTCTTTAGTTTGAATGTGCAGTAATTATTTTCGTTAAACAAAAACTTTACTTATTTTCTAAATATTTTAAACTTATTTTTATCAACAAAAAAAACAATTATTTACGGAATATATTCTTTTATGTGTTAGTGTTTGCAAACTCCAAATCCCTGCAGTCGTCTACAAGAATAATATGAAATACCGTATATTAAACAAGTCATGACTCGTGAGTAATGACTCCGATATGATATTTTTTAAACAACATTTCATTGTGTAATTTCGCTCTCTTTATAATTTAAAGTCGTTTATCGATTCTGCAAATACAGTAAGAATATAAAAAATTTAAAACAAATTTTTCCATAAGTCATCACAAAATACAATTTTAATGCAAAATATTTTTTGTTAAATCAGAATTTTTTATTTACTTTAAAAAACTTTTGACGTTCAGAATTGAAACCTATCGTCATATCAGCAAATATTGTTTATATTAAGATATATTTTAAACCCTTTTTCTGGTACTTTATTTTATTAAGAATTGTATATAAATTTTGTTTAAACTAAGAATAATGTGTCTATAATTTTTAAAGTATATATTAATATATCGTTTAACGCATATTTTTTTATTATAAATGAATTTTTAGAATAATAAATCGATAGTCAAAGTAAATTAATAATGATTTTTAATTATATCTTTAAATGCAAAATACATTTAATTTGATTGAGTTTTCAGAAGAATAGTTTACATATTTTTGTTTCAATGTTTGTTTGATTCTTTGTTAGCATTAAATTGAAGTAAACTCTAAGTTTTAAATTAAAATTTCAAAATAATTTGAATTAAGTCCTGAACTGTTATCGTATTTAACTAACTTATAGCCGTATGAAAGCAAATATTGAATTCCCTGTCATATTGCAAATAAATGGATATGAATATATTTTTATAATTTAATGTACAATAATATTCTGTTGTGATACTAAATTATATAATATTAAATTATTTAAAACCAAATATAAAACAGTTGTTTTATGATAAAAATAAAATAATAACTATTTATTATAAATAAAATATTAATTTTTATTTGTTTACTATAACATGTGAAACAGGGATTCATTATTTAGCTTTTCTTGTTAACTATAATGCATTATAATAATAGTTAGAATCTGTAACTTGCTAATTCTTGATTAATGTTTAAATTCTAGCCTTTTATTTATAATTAGTAAATATAGTGAACAAACTCTCTGTCAAACTCCTTAAGCCGTATTCCCACAAATTGGATGAAACCACCAAAATCTTCTTATTGAAAGAATATTGTCTATTTATTTTAAGCACTTTAGATTAATACTTATTGCAACTTTTATTGTTTGCTCAAAATATAATTTCTTATAATACATAATGTGTTGTATTCAAAACTCACTGTTGTGTTTTTGTATCCAAATATCTCTTGTAAGGTTTTGAAGCAATATTGCATAATATACTTTATTTGGATTCAAATGTCAATTTGGTATTCAAGACATATAATACTTATTTTGTTTTTAGCACTTTTCGTCCAAATTTGTAGGAATACAGTCAAGATATTCATCAGAGGGTTGACCACTTATTATATAATTTTATATAATGTGTGACAAAGTTGGAGAAATTTGTGTTGAAATGTGCAAATAAATAATGAATAGAGTGTTGATATATTGGCACAAAAAGCCGTCCAAATCAGTGGACATTATTTCGATATTGCAATAGAGTTATCAGATTTGAAGAGATTTTTTAATTGAATATATACTGTATTTGAGAAGAATTATTACATTATATACTGCACTGAATAGTGTAGAGTTAGTGGTATTTTCGTGATGAGTGCATTGGTTATAATGAGCGCATCATTCGGTCGAGTGTTTGGCCAAAGCCAGCAAAATCATAGTCAGCTCTTTCTTATTGATTTTGCCGTCTCTGTTGTAGTCACAGCCCGAAAGGATAGCCTTTTGAAACTCTCCTAGGTCTTGTGCGTCGTAGTCCTGTAAGGGCCGAGAGGTCAGTCATGGTCTACCTTATCGTACAATCACTACTTCATTGGAAAAACTAATTATAACCTAAACTAATGGATGCTAAATGAATTTTGTTTGTAATCTCGTTTTTTAGCACAAACTTCAAAACTATTGAACATTAATTGAAAGCAAAGCAAATAAATAGGAGATCCAGAAATGAAGTTCCCTGAGATTCTATGAGATTATCGTTTATTTAATTATTATTTTCAGACAAAATCTATATAAAAAATATCTCTTAAGACTGTTTACGAGACGAGAATTGTAAACACATTTTGAGTTAACTTTCTATTAAATAGACTAAACGTTAACTATTTATCAGTTTTGAATCGATTTACAGCTAATCTCGTGTTTATATAAATAGAAAACTGCGAATCGATTGCCAAAAGGCTGTCGTCTATTGCATGCATTGTTAGCCAACGGCTCTCTAACCAACTGAACACTATATTAGACATTGGGAGCACTGGTATGTGATACCTTTTTGACCAGTTCCAGTAAATCCTTGAGAAAGCCTTTGAGTTCTTCATTCTCAATGGTGCCATTCTTGTCCTAAAGTAGGTCTCAATTGTTAAATAACTCACAGATTTGGATATGAATGCAGAGATATGTACTAGATAATTTGGATATGTACTCACTCTATCATATAAAGCGAAGACCCGTTCAATATCTTCTTTATTGAGTTTCGTGGCGCCTCTGAAGGCATTTCGACACAAGAAGTTCTCTTTCACTGGAAGAAGCCTACCATCACATCAACCAAAAACACTTTCAATCACTTTTCAATTCAATCAATGTTTGCCAACAAATCAATTGTAAAATTTATATAAATTATCATTTATATGAGTTATGACATAATTCTCTAATCATTTTGTGTAACCAACAAATAAATGACTCATTTTTATTAGACTTAATAGTGTATTGATATAATTTATATTAGTTAAAATAAGTTTCTAACTGTTATAAATAACTAAATTGTTTGGCGTATAGGTTTAGACGCTTTTGTAGCAAAAAATAATATATTGAGTAAAAAATGTAAGAAATCTTTTTATATAGTAATTCGTTGTCTAAGAAATGGTTTTGACGGCAATAGCTATATATATCTGCGATAACTCCTATAATATAAGAATAACATTAACTACAAATTGATTCGTTGGGTTATTCCTGACATCAATGCAAACCATTTTCGCTAAACATCTAAACGATAATATATTTATCCGAAGAATCGAGAACTCAAAGTCTGCACTAATCTTTCAATTCGTTAACTGATTTTGACAATTAATGAACAAATGCAACATAAAAGATGTAAAAAGAGTGGTGTGTATGTGGATATAGGGTCGGGGTATGACTCACTTAGCCATTTCACTCAATTGCAGTTTTCCGTCTTTGTTTGAGTCGAAAATATTGAGTAAAGTGTCGGTGTATTCAATGAGTTTGTCCTCATCTATCGATTCACGTTTCGCTTCTTTCAACAGATCTTTTAGAAAGTTCTGACAAATAGTGACACAAAAACACATTAACTATAACTATATATAACTATTTGAACTATATTTTTATAAACTCATTAAAGCTTTTATGATTGTCTTGTCCTTTAATTAATTATTTTGTTAATACCTTCAGCTCATCGGCCTCTATATAGCCACTGCCGTCGGTGTCATATTCTCTCCAAATCTAATTATTTGTCATTAAAAGTAATTTAAACTTTAATTAAAGTCAATATAAAACTCATCGTCGACTCAAACCTTCATAAACTCAACGCTCGATTCGAGAGGATTATCGAAACGGAAGAGAAGCAAAAAGCTTTCTTCTAGAGGCAGGAGTTGTGCCAACTATTCGTTCAAATGATAATTACATTCAATTTACAACTTTTACATAAATATCTCATTTATCTAATGATCTCTCTCTCTCTCTCTCTCTCTCTCTCTCTCTCTCTNCTCTCTCTCTCTCTCTCTCTCTCTCTCTCGCAATACATACTTCTCGTATTTCTATCTTTCCATCCTTATTGTCGTCGTAGGCCTCCATAAAACACTCCTTCAGCTCCGAGAACATGGATTCGGACACCACCTGAAGATGTAATTATCAATTATTTGGTTATTTATTAAAATGCTCTTTCAGTGAATTCATTTAATTATCACTTTTTTCATTAAAATATCATTAAAATTCTTGGACTTTTCTAAAACGAGTGGATTATTATAATTTTATGACTAGTTTTATGTCTCAACGCCTATTTATGGTATACGACAAGTATAGCAAAGATTCATTTTATGATAATTGCTTTGTTTTCACTGAAATTCATAAATTTGTTAATTAAGTTAAACTCAATCTCTATTGTGATCACTCATTGCAGTCAAAAGTGATTTAATTAATTGAAATAAATTTCACATTTAATGTCAAAATAACTTGTGATATACTGTGAAAGTGAATGGTGAAAGGCATTATTTAATGACTTATATGAAAATTGTTTTGCATATCTTAAGTTGGCTACCAATTGAGACTAAATGGCTGTAATTACTTAACGCCTATTTAGATGAAATTTATATCATGGACTCGTTATGAGATATTTGTCTGATTTATAACTAATGTTATACAAAAATCTCCAAAAATACTGAAAATATATAAAATTATAGAAATTATTTAGAAATAGGAAATATTAGCTTTCTACTATCTATTACATAAGTTACAACACATGTTAATCATCACCAAAGGCTGTGGTGGCTTTCAAAATATTTTTATAAAGCTTATCGATTTAATTTTGTAGAAATTTTTATTTTTACGATTATTTTTTGTCGATAAAAGTTCTCATTTATTTGTTACAACATTTGTCCATTACATCCAAACTATGAATGATGTGGTCTTCAAATTAGTAGACATTACCTCCGGTCCGACATCAGTAGTGTTGACCGAACTAACGAACTCCTTGAGGAAATTATCGAGTTCTCGGCCCTCAATAAAACCATTTCCTAAAAAACAAACCATTTTCACAATTAATTCACAAATAAAAATTGTGTGCCCAAAGTTTGCAAGGTAACAATAAGTATAATTAAATGATAATATTTGATAAGATGCTCCTAAGGATATATTAAAGAAAGCGATGTTTATGTGAAATAGTGTCACAAAATTGTATACAAGATATTCTAAAACACATTTGTCTTCATGAGATTCAGTCGTTGTATTCATTAGGAAGTAAATTAGATTAAAGGCAATCGATATATGGTTTTGAAGTAAATTTTGTTATTGTATTGCAATCTCGTGTGGTTTGGTTCGCGTGAAAGTAGAATATGAATGGCAATGAATAGAGAGGTGTTTCACAGTATATATATGTGAATACATTTCCATAAACTAGTCTCGTTTACCCATATTTTATAGACTTCATATTTTTTGAGAACATTTTATTATGTATTATGAATTGTTCAATAGCTCTGAAATAAAATTCAGTTTAGAGACAATGGAATCTTCACTATGTCTGACATATCGTTGTCTTTTATATAAGAAATATTGAATTTTTTGTTTATTATTGATGCGGAAACTGATGGCCAAACAAATGTCAACTTTTATAGTATAGGCTCTAAATCCTAAAGAATGGCTTTTAAAGAGTATTGTCATAGTTATCAGGACTCGTTGTTTCATATTACAGCACAAACAAAACAACTTGATGGCTAAATTGTTATTAATGTAACAAGTCTATTTTGTGAGTAAACATAAAAATTAAATATTCTGTTTACTGTTCTGTTAAATATTCTGGTTGGTTTGTACATTTTCATATACTTGTATTGGTTTCGTAAATATTTATTTATTGTTATAGATTTGCATATAATTGATAAAATATGATTGTACTGTATAATACCTGCGATAGTTTATTATTAATAGAAATACAATCGTATGATAAATGTAAATATTCGGTATGTATACTATTATTGTAAATCCGTTTTTATATTAGTATTTATATGTTTGACTAAATCTTTGTATTTGATTAACAAAACGATTGCATAAAAGAAAAGACAGCAATGAACTTATATGTGATAATTGGGTTTAGCTTTAGTAAGTTTACGTGAGTTTGGGTTTTATATTATGTTGTATTAAGAATTTATCTAAAATATGTAGAATAAGTGCACATAAAAGGAATCCAATGTATCAAACACTCAAACACTTCAAACATTTCAAATACTTAAACTAACAGTGAATCATATACACACTTATATCACGACATCTTTTTTAATATTATATTAAGTTCTCAGATGTTATATAATATAGACTTTTCGAGCGACTAATACAATATATACTTTTACTTATAAGTTTATGATTTTTTTGCAATCCTAACCTTACAAGTTAGGTTATTTATTGGATTCTTTTTTTTATTGTGTATACTTATTCTTAATAACGTAAACACAATTATTTTCTGAGTTTAATTAAACAAATGTTTGTCATTTTTAGGTTTCTACTATAATTTCAACATTAAATTCTTTTTAATTAATGAATTATTTATATTTAAGTTAATAAGAGATTTTTAATTTACTTTATTTTTATGTAAATTAACCTATTTTTATTATGAAAGTAATTCCTAAAGGCATTTATAGACATTCAGATTAAGTTAGAAAATCCTATTAAGACAACAAATTGATGTCGATTTGTACTAAACATTGCTTTCATCAACATTTGAGTCATCGGATTATGTATAAGATTTTAATTCAATCACTCAATCAATAAAGTTTTATATTAAAAACGATATAATTTTATTACAGATGTCTATTCAATTGACATATTTTTCTACATTACAATTCTCATATTACAGTATTAACAATTAATTAGTTTTAATTTTATATAAATTTAAATGTGATAAATATTCAAATGCAAATTGTGAAGTTTTGTTGCACAGAATAATATATACATAAGAATTATCGATCTTTCAATGCAAGTATTATATTGTGTTTTGTAATATAAACGACAACTATAACAGAAACCACAGCTTTTGTTAACACATAACATATTTTTTGAACACTTGTATTGTGGGATTAGTTTAGATTCTAGACTTTAGAATCCTTTATGTTATATGACCAAGAGGTTTAGGGAGCTATGTGATCATAACTGTAAGAATTCATAATAAAACAAATAATTGCTTTATCATTCATTTAAATTACTATATTATATTGATATTAATAGCTTATAAGACTTTTACTAAACTTATTTCATAAACGTTTTGATTAATAAATGTTCTCTCTCTATATATAAACTAATTAAGTATAAAACAACTGACAGTCAAAACCATTGTTTTGTAATTATTATTACAATACTACAAAAAAGTGAAAATTCATTAGCAATGAAAGAGAATTTGAGAAAATCCAAAAACATTTTGTATATTATATTTTATGAGTTATGACATTTGAATTTGATAAATTAGTATTTCAGAATTTGTAAAATAAATTTCTAAAATATTTAAATATAAACTTTAATTTTGATTTATATTTACAATGGATTTCAAGATTAAATGTTTCTTAAAATATTTAGACTGAATTCATTCAATTCTGTATTTTATTCAAAGGCATTTAAATTGAATAAAATTATTAAGCAAATATATTCAAGTTTTTGTATACTTCCAGAAACATTCGCACATTTTGCATATGTTTGCAGTGAAGCAAGACAAATTTTAGTCAAAATCCCAGCAGATTTTGTTTTTGTTTTTATTATTTTAAACTTTTATTATATTATTTTCAATTGACTTAAAGTATTGAACTTGTATTAATATGTTTAAAATAGGCAAAAAGCATTTTAAGTGCAAATTTATTTATTGTATAAATTTTGGAAATTTATTCGTTTAAATAAAATTGAATTAATTTCTCTTTGCTTTAAATGTTATTATTATCTATAAATGAATATAAAAAAGTTTACAATCGAAAGAGCATTGAGAGCTCATATAAACTAAAGTTTTTGGTGAATATGTGCAAAGAGTACATAAATATTCAATTTGTAAAATTGATTTTTTATTGCCACCTAAATTATGTGCAAATTTCATATCTCGTACGATATGTCTATATGTCTCAAACTATATGTCTATAGTTAGCGCACATATGATCTCTATTTTAAGCACATAATCGACTCAATCGATCAGCATTTTTCTGTAATACAATATTATTAAGAAATATTGAAATTTACTTAAAAGTAGCATAAAATATAGAAATCTCTCATTTATATGGATTCATATAAAGAATGTGTTGAAAAGAATCTATTTTTTGTGTAAATCCCTATAGAATTCAAGCAAATTATGAATCAAATAATAACTGTTTCTCTAACCAAACATTTCTTAAGAGATAAAAATCAATAAGAATTCAGAGAATCCTATAAAAGAGTTTGCAGAAGATTTCAAATAAAGTAAAGATACCATAATATGTGGTAATTATTTATTTGAAAACATTTACAGCAATAAAAGTTTGCCCAAATGTTACATAAAGTGTTTAATTATTTTTTCTAACTCGTTTTTATTTCTACATAGCCTTTTGAATCAAACTATAATCATATTTACATTAAATTAATATTTTGCATTAATTGTTAAGTACTATTAGTTTAAGCATTTGGGGTTATAAAACACAATTTTGAAAATTACAACTACTGATTCTCAGTATTTAAATAAAACAGATATTTTTTATTTATTTAATTTAATTTATTTATTTGTTTTAGAGATGACTTTTGTGCTAAAATGCCGTCAATATAGTCTTTACAAATAGACTGACACCACACTACTGTAGTAACCCTATATGCAAACTTTAATAATTTATTATCTATATCGCCAGCATAATTAAAACAAACTAATTGGTATTTAATTTAAAATTTTTGTTTGAGATAATCTTTATCGTAAAATAAAGGTGACTTCACAACCATTTGGATGCCTTACCCCCTGGCTATCACTGACAGAGCATAATGAAAGTTCTGAGTTTACAAATTAAAGATAATGTACTGCAGAATACAGTATATTATACTTTGTATTGCATTAATGAAAGGCATTCATTGTTGAAGACACATCACAATAACTACTTTGTAATACTTGACTAACTTTTCTGAATCATCTTTTCAATACTTTATTAATACATCAAATATTTCTGTTATCGATTTAATCGATTATTACATTTGCTAATTCCACCAAAAAATAACCTGAAGTTAATATAAGTATGATTTAGATGTATTTATACGGAATATGATAATGGAAAAAATGTATGAAACAAAAGAATCTATAGTTTACTTACAAAATGAGATCATTTTCTACGAAAGATTAATCGTTTTAATAAAGTTCTTGAATTCTTAAAATTTTATTAAAGAAAATTTGTTTTTATATTTTTAATTCATATACAAATATAAAAATAATGCTAATTATGTATATTCCAAACACGAATTCACGTAATTTAATATTTATAAATCAATAAATTCTTATAATACAGTATCGCAATAATGTATTAAATCTTGTTTATAAAATTCATAATAAAATGACAAAAATGTATTGATAATTCCCATATTTATATTGGATTTTTATTGAAAATTTCTAATAAAGTAAGAGATGTCATAAACTAAAAGCAATAAAATCCCCTTTTAAAGTAAATTGAGTTTGTGTTCAAAACAAATATGCATAAAATCCAATGAGACTTAAGAGGTAGCATTTGGCAGTATTTTTTATGTTTTTATTTCATATGAGAAAATAGTGGCATATCTTTCATTCACTTCAGTATTGCCTCTCAGTGTCCATATCGACCAAAAAAGCAGTGAATTGCGAGTGAAATGAATAACGGATTCCTTATCGCTCTCCGACACGTTGTTCGCAGTCATTAAGACTTCTCAAAGCAAACACTCCTTACTATTAGCACTCGGCATAAGAATAAGACTTTGTTTGTCACCACTTCTCGCAAATATGGACCACTATTTTAATCATTGTATTATTTATTATTGTTACTATCGCTTAACATTTTTCAAAACTCTATTCAAGGTTTGAATCGTAAAAATCAACA